TAAGCCGGTGAGATAGCTCAGTGGGCTAATGCATCATCAGTAGAATATGTTCGACCCGGCAGGGTTGACTCAGCCTTTCATCCTTCCAAGGCAGGTAAAATTAGTACCATTAAATTGGTTGATAGTAACAACCCCGGATGTTGGGCTAAGGTAACATCCCCAGGACGTACTTAAAAAAACAGAGGAATCTGTATGTACCTTTCCTGGATAAATACTTTGTTATTATTATTGATATTACTCATGAACACCTGTGTATGCAGACTGATTCTACACATAATTAAATTCAAGCAAGCATTTATGCACATGCATTCACGCTATACACACATACACAAACAAAAAATATACTTGGTATTTAAACTAAGGATTGTGGATTGCTAACAAGTGCCAAAATAGCACAGATGGAAAAATTGATTTTTTAAGTTTGGCAATTTTGGTCTAAGTTCTGAAATATGTAGAAAAATCATTGTAATAGATGCCTTCTCAGAGGGGAGTTATTATACCCCACCCCTCCCCCACACTCACACACACACACACACATGTTTTTTAGGGTGATAGTTCATTGGTAGCAATTTCCATTGAGAAAAAAACTGTGAAACTCCCCCATAACAGAAACAAGACTGCAGATTCGGGAGAAACAATAAAGAGAGTTTAGTTTAGAAATTCCAATTTATGAGTTTGCAATAGAAAAGCACAGAAGGATATAATTATTTAACAGAGAGGACAAATCAACAATAATGTTATATTTTAAAAAAGGCAATCAAGCAGCGAGAGCTTTGAGGGGAAGGACCGCATGTATATTTTAACAGAGCTTTTTAAATAGAGTAATAAATCCAAAAGATTTATCCTAAGCTTTATCACTACAGTTCCAAATAACCTAAGTCAATACATTAAAATCCATTAAAAACAATTATATATCAGGAGCTGCACTGACACATTCACTGTCCAAAAGATGGGCAGCATTTTGACCACTGCCTTACTATAGAGGGTGGATATTATGGAAGGAATATTGAGCTAGAACATTTTTGTAGTTTTTGTTTCTACAAACAGGTTTGGTGGCATTGCATTAAAACACACACAAAATCAAAAATGTCCCCACCAAAATTCACCAAGTAAACAAATAAAAAGAACAATTGACGTCCATCCAGCAGCTTCCTTTCAGAATGTTCTTCAAAAAACAAATACAGCAATATAACAAAATGGAATGTTTTGGCACTTTATAACGTAGGGATTTTATTACAATATGTGCAAATCGAGACTATAAACGAGCGAACAATATTTTGCTATTATGTCCTACTGAGTAAGTTTCGGTGTATACAAAGCACATTGGGCGCGCTGTGTTGGCTGATTTTATTGATATACAGGAGTTTATTGCACTGTTTGAAGTTCTTTTTCTATGCGAGTTGTATTCTTGACAATTTTATTGCACAAGATTTATTTTTTTCGAGTTGCCCTGCAATAAAGACATATGGTATGTACTAGTTACATAGCTATATAGTATAAAGTTTAGTCTTTCTCAGAATTGGTTTTGCTGTTGATCCAAATGAAGACAAAAACCCAGTTTGAAGTACTTCCAATTTTGCAAAACTAGGGAAAAAATCCTTCTTGACCACAGACTGGCAGTCAGAAATCCAATTACTGTTAAAATATCTGTATAGACTCTGATAAAACCATCTCTTTAGGCAAATAATTCCACATCCTTTCCTGCAGCAGCCAGCTCCGCCACCATCAATGTCCGCATGTTTAAGATCTTCCACAATCTTCTCCAATCAGAAGCATTGATGACTAGGATGCATGCTTGGCAAAACAACGCGCTCATGCAATCAAATACTGCTATCAGAAGCATTTGATTGAAGAACCAAGTCTGACTCAGTTCAGGAGGCGGAAGAGGCGGAAGGGTTAAAACTACAGGACCACTGCACCCAGACCGCCTCATTGAGATAGGCCATAGGAAAAATTGTAAGAAGCAGAAGAGTACCTAATATAGAAGACCAGTACAATACATAGTGGGGGTTCGAAAATATTTGGTGCCCAGGTCACTTCTAATACAAAGGGTGGCCATTAATGTGGCTATGCATTGGTAATCTAAGAGTGGTTTACATTAATACATACATGCATTTATAATTAATGTTGCACACAAAAATATACATATATGTTCATCCTGACCTTGGGTCTGGATCTCCAAGACTTTTGTTTTGTTTTTTGTCGTGCTGTGTTAGTCAGCATCCTTCCACTTACTTCCTATTCCAGTAGTGATGTTTTACAAAGTTGTGTTCTTAAATTTAGGTTCCAGCTCCACAACATAAGGGACCCAAATCCTGGCACACAGTTTTTTTTTAAAGAAACACTATAGGGTCAGGTTGTTTTATATGGTGCCAATACCTAGAATTAATATTATCTTGGCATAAACTTGGCAAAGCATTATCTGGCATATCAATACGTAACATGTGCCTTGAATCATACATTAATTCTAACATACTCCTAAAGAATGTTCAGGTAAATTGTCACAAACACAATACAAATATCATGGTTCAGAAACCTAAAAAGATGATAATAATGTTTAGAACCTGCTACTTTTTTTTAGTAAAATCAGTAAAATTGTGTTTTTCAGATCGTTGTTATATCCCTTGTAGAAGAGCAGAACAAGTCAGCACACTGCTGTGTCACTTTGTTATTCCACATTTTGGAATTTAGAATAGGTCGTCAGATTAAAAAAATTGCTCTTTGACTTTAATATTCTATCATGTAAATAGTAAAATTTACCCAACCCAAAAAAGGGTGTGTTAGAGCAGTGGGTATAATGTAGTGGTTCTGGTGTCTATAGCCTGTCCCTGCAGGCCTTTAAATGTAAACACTACAGCACTGGCGTTAGATAACATGGCAAATCATATGGGTGGGGCATTGTGATGTCACTTGGGGGAGGTGGCAAACTTTACATTTGCCTAGGGCGGCAAAAATCCTTGCACCGGCCCTGGCTGGAGGGGGCTGTGTGAGCTGTGGCCGCACAGTGCCCCATGGTAGTTAGGGTGCACGGAGGAAAAGTGGGGCGGAGCTAAGCAAAATCAGAGGCGGAGCCAAACTGGTGCTGGGGGGGTAGGGGGGCGGGCAAGGGGGTGCCAAGCACAGGACCAGCCCCGGGTGCCAAATGCTCTAGGTACGCCCCTGCGTATAACTGAGGTTTTCGAGGTTACGGCTCATTTACACACTGAGTAATTTGAGAAATGCGTTATCAATTCAAGATAAGAAAAAATTCTGAAGCTTTCCTCTTCACTACAGGTTCTCCCTACAGCCATTATAATATTGTTACGTAACTGCACTCTCCAGGAATCCAGTGCTCGGTTACAGGTCTCGCCCACAATACGAGCTGCGATTGAATCCTCGCTGAACGTACCTGGGAGGAAGAGGGGTGCGGAGAGCGAAGAGTCAGAGGGACGCAGTCGCTAAGCTCCATGACTTCTCATCCTGCTGACATATTGCTGTACTTGACATGTTTTCTGCGTCTTCCGTTTGTGCTAAATGTCATTTTTACAAGTTCCTGGAGGCCTAAAACCAGCTTTAATAGTTTTACTCAGAAATGTAAATATATTTAATTTTTAGAATTGTAATTCGGTGTGTCTGAGTATTTCATATTATTTTCTTCACATAAGTGAAATAAAGTAAAATGCCTCTTTGTAAAATAATTCATTAGAATTGTTATAATTTATTACACAGCTCTGTATTGTGCTATATTTATGACTAACCCTTTAATAGTTAATAAACTATCACAAGGTTCTGTATAACACACAGAGCCCATATAGGGGATGAAATGTGCCGTTTGTTATTCCAGGTAAAACATTCACTCCGTACGGCTTTGCCTTAGTCTGCCTGACATTGTTTGACAGAATCGCTGTGCCAAGAGAGCAGAAGGATTGTGAGCATCATTGTCAGTCAGTCATTTCATTTGGCTCCATCCCCCTGTATCTACTTGTTAATATTCCTGTGGGATTCATTATATTCACAAACAAGCGAACACTAACTCAGGTGAATGAATTCCAGCTATTTCCATGTGGCTCTCACTGCTGCAGGTGTTGCCCATGCATAGTCTCCCAGGTGTTCGATATTTCGTGGTTTGATTCATCGTTGCCATACCATAGAATGCAGCAATAATCTTACGTAATCTGAGTCTTAGAACCCATTCCTGTGGGAAGTGTGGCTTTTAATCCACAGCATATTATTCTTTTTATCCCTCAATGTCTGTGGGATTTTGTTGTTTCATTCAGTTTATTCCATAGAATGCAGCAATAATCTCTCTTAATCTGAGTCTCAGAGTAGTTAGGGAATACCCCGGTAATTATTTATCTGCTCTATTTTGTAGCTTTTAATCACAGTAGTTTTATTTTCCCAATGTATGTGTATGGGAATTTGGTTGTGTCATTAACCCCTCTTATTCCATAGAATGCAGCAATAATCTCTCTTAATCTGAGTCTGGGGGCTTGTCCCTGTAGTCCGGTAATTATTTCATGAGGTCTATTTTATGCTTTTTAATCTGCAGCATATTATTATTGTTTATTTCATTGATGTCTATGGGATTCTTATCATTCCTCTTAGTACATACCACCACTGTAGCTGCAGACAATCAAACATGCAGATAAAGCTCCACACAACTCCCATCACTCCCATCTCCCAATGTAATGGGTGTATTCCATCAAGTCCCATTGACTTATTTGTCTTTACGTTTGACAGTTGAAATAGAACTTCTTCCTCTGTAAATTCACGTGTAATTGTGACGGAACGCTGGCACTCCGACTGAGTACCTCCGCCAATCGATGCTCCTAGTGCTCGCTGAGGACTCCAAGCACTCCAACCGACACCATCAGCACTGCAGACCCCACTTCCAGCGATGCAACTGCGCCTGGGTCTCTGCTGTCTCCACCCATCCTGGACCAAAGGCCAGGATCCAGCTTCCAGTGGGTGAACCTCTCTTTGCCCAGAGAGCAGGAACAGGAACAAGCTCTTAGCAGAACTTAGTGATCATACCCTGGGGAGTATAGTGATTATAGCAATCCCCAGAGTGTATTTCTCCAATCCCCCAAACATGAGCCATGGCTTAATGCTGGAACAAGACTGATTTACTGGCACACAGAACTCACAATTTATGCAACACAAAACTCCTCCTCTGGGCCAGGCTAGATAATTGAGTTTCTACAATACACAAAGTTCAATTATCTGCTTGCCAGAAATAATACAGTTTCATAAAACACACAGGGACCCCAAAACATGCAATAACCCCATATATCATTGGAACCGGGGGATCTGGGTGAACCACATATCCAAAATTCACCCAGATCCGTTCAGTACTTTGGAAAATACAGTTTAATGCAGATTTCAGAACATATACATACAGAAAAACAATCCCTTTATAATGTGTCCCCTGCTGTATAGTCCAAAACCACTGCACGATGTCTCTGTGCACCAAATACTGGCGAGATGGCACCGTGTTGAAAAGTCCAAACAGTGTCTGTGAGTTAAAATGGCCGCTATCCATTGTTCTCACCATGTGCTTCTGATACAGGAAATGGTGGCCACCCAGTAACTCCACAGTATGTCCCTAGATGGTTCTTAAAAGGGCTAGCAGCAGCACAACACAAATCCATTATGCCCAAATCACGTCTTTAAAGGGCAATACATCCCAGGGGCCATAGTCACAGGGCAAGAGGCGGGCAAGCAGTGCACAAGTGACATACAGTAATAAATCCATTTAAACTGAGGGGCTTATATTCACACTGTAAATTATTCAATTAGGCCCTTGGGTGACAAAAAAAATGCACCTTAAAAAACCATTTACCCTAGGCTGAGTTGTAGTACTCTCTTTTTGGCAATAAGGGGCTGTTGAATTTTTATGTATTTGGTTTCTATTAGTTTTCTTTTTCTTTAAAGCTAGACATGTAATTTCCTGAAAAAGTCTGTAAAGCATAATTTCTATAATAACCATGAACTTTTTAGTCAGTTCTTCTCTGACTGACCAAGAATGGCTGCTCTTCTTCTTCCTCTCGCTCACCACTTGCCCGCTCGATCCAAAATATCTCACCAATCAGATCTCTCTGACTTGTCTCGGCCTTCTCTAACAGCATCTTCAATGCTCATCTCTTCTGGCATCGTATTGCTACCTTAAACACAAACTGTAATACCATATAAAAAAACCATCCCTTGACTATCCACCCCCTCTAACTACCCATAATATCCCTGCTCCCTTTTCCTAAAGCTTCTGGAAAGACAGTCTTTACAATGTGTCTCATTTCCTGTTTCCAACTGGTCCTTGTTTTTTAATCTCCTTCCGCCTCTCCACTCTAAGAAGATTAGCAACATATAATCAATCATATAGGCGGTTGCTCATATTTTGTAATTATATATACAAAAATATTAGTGCAACATTAAAATCAGTGTATATACACTATCATCTTGGTGGAATTAGTCCATAAAAACTAAAATATCCAAATCTGTATTGAGGCAGCCTGGAACAGAAGTTTTCAATTTGCAAATCCATTCTGTTTCTTTCATGGTCAGACGTTTTTCTATGTCTCCCCCTCTCCAATGGGGGCTGACCCGATCGATAGCAATACAGCTAAAATTTTCTATTTTAAAATCTTTACAACTATTGCAGTGTCTTGGTACGCTATGTTTTATGCTGAAGCAGCTGACGGTGAATCACTTGGTCCATACTTGTTGCAGCTTTTGCACAGACCTCCACAGACTGCCAGACCGGGAGATTTAGCCTATTTTAGGCATCAGCACTTTAGCACATATTGATTTTTTCAATTGTGCCACATCGTTTGTGAGTGTTTTAATTTATGTGTTTTTATCACTTTGGAATTAAAAGTTTGCACTATGATGTTTTCTCCTTTTATATCTTTTATGTGAATATTCCTATTTATTCGCTGGAGGGTAATTATATCCAGTCTTTATATTTGGTGATAAGTGGCGCCCTATTTCTGTATAGTATATACAGTTTTGTTTTTTGCACAACAGTGTCAAAAGACTTACTGAAATCTAGGTAATCAATGTCTACTGCACCACCCTGATCTATAATTTTAGTTACCCAATCAAAAAAAATCAATAAGATTAGTTTGGCATGATCTCCCTGAAGTAAACCCATATTGTCTCTGATCTTGAAATCCATGTGATTTTAGATGTTCAACAATCCTATTATTTAACATGGTTTCCATTACTTTCCCCACTACAGTAAGTAAGGCTTACTGGCCTATAGTTGCCCGACTCCTCTCTACTACCTTTCTTGTGAATGGGCACAACATTCGCTAACTTCCAATCTTCTGGCACTACTCCTGTTAACAATATGGAGATAGGACAGAAAGGAGATGGGCTTTCGCACAGTATAAGGGGGGGGGGTGAAGTCAGGGGGAGGGGCAAGCTCAAAACAGAGAAGCTATGTAATGTTGATAATTCACAAAAAGTACAAGTGACTCATGATATTAAATGTATGCTTACTAATGCAAGGAGCCTAAATAACAAAATGGGGGAACTAGAGGCAGTAGCATGCACTAAACAATATGATATAATTGGCATAACTGAAACATGGTGGGATGAGACACATGACTGGGCAGTTAACTTAAATGGGTACATGTTATTTAGGAAGGATAGGAAAAACAATTAGGGTGGTGGGGTATGTTTGTATGTCAACCATGATTTAAAGCCAAATCTTAAGCAAGTGGAATGCGATGAGCAAAATATGGAAGCTTTATGGGTAAATATCTGCTTGGGGGACAATAAGGGAAACCAACTATTGGTTGGGATATGTTATAAACCACCTAATGTTAATATTGATGAGGAACAACAACGGTTCGAGTAAATTGAGAAACCTGCAAATCTGGGTAACACTTTAATTATTGGAGATTTTAATTACCCGGACATAAATTGGGACAGAAGGACTAGTAGCTCAGCAAAGGGAATTAGGTTTTTAAACTTGTTAAATGACACCTTCATGTCACAACTTGTACAAGCACCAACTAGAATGGACCTGGTTTTAACAAACAATGTTAATCTTTTGACCAACATTCAAGTAGGTGAGCACTTGGGAAATAGTGATCACAATATAGTGTCTTTTGAAATAAACTCAAAAAAACAAAAGCACATGGGGTATACCAAAACATATAATTGTAAAAAGGTCAATTTCAATAAGTTAAGGGCAGCTTTACAATATATTGACTGGCATAAACTCTTTAGTGAAAAGAATACTGAGGATAAATGGATTATCTTCCAATAAATATTAGAAAGGTACATTTCTCAGTATGTACCATTGGGAAATAAATATAAAAGAAACAAATTAAAACCAATGTGGCTTAATAGAAAAGTAAAACAAGAGATTAAAATTAAGAAAAGGGCATTTAAATCGGACAAATCAGATGCATCTTATAAAAGATATAAGGAAGCAAATAATGTGTGCAAAAAGGCAATCAGATTTGCTAAACTTCAAAATGAAAAAATGATAGCTAAAGAGAGCAAAACCAACCCCAAAGCATTTTTTTATTACATAAATTCTAAAAAACTCAAAAATTAAAGTGTAGGTACACTAAAAACTGAAACGGGGGTGTTAGTTAATGAAGACCAGGAAAAGGCAGGAATTTTAAATAACTATTTCTCCTCCGTATATATTAAGGAAGAACCCATGGTAATAGATGTACAAATAATTGCTACTAAAAACTTGCAGAATAATTGTAATTGGTTAACTCAAGACAAGGTGCTGCAGCAACTAAAGAAAGTTAATATAAACAAAGCTCCAGGGCCTTACGGTATCCATCCACGTGTACTTAAGGAACTAAGTGTAGAAATAAGTGAACCTCT